CATCAAAGAAAAAAAATAAAATTAATCCAGGCATCTCTGTTCTCCATGGCTGCTGTAAAAACAGCACAATTATCGTCCCTTGAGGAAATGGGCGGAGCTTCACCTCAGGTTGCCTCGTGAGAAGCTGGATTCTGTTTAATGTTGATTGGTGACAGTTATTGTGATGTCAGAATAACATGCAGTAGCAGAGACCTGAGGCCCCAACTATTTTTGGATGATAAACATTTGTATCAGGTCAACAAAACATGGGCATAGTAACAATATTTTTATACTACATTTATCCATTTTAAATATACTAACCTCACTCCTTTGTAACAACTTGGACAAAAATGTCATTAATTCAGAAAATCTTTTCAGGACCCCACCTTGATGTTTTGGGACCCCACTTTGGGTCCCGACCCCAACTTTGGGAAACACTACAGCACTGCTTTGTAAAATGACTAAATAAAAACCAGCAGGCTTCAATAAACTTGTTACATAAGGGAAATATAACCATTTGTTAATGTCAGTCAGCTGGAAAAAAATAACATTCATTTTCAGAGTAATAAATATTACCTGTAGAATCAAATATGAACATAACAAAAGAACATATCCAAATTTACCCTCAGATCTAATACAAAACGCATTTAATGCACGTGTGTATTATTACAATTAGACATTTGCATATAGTAGTGCGTTAATCACAGTGTTTATTTCTTTTTACATAAAGCGTATTTTGGCAGCCTTGTCTCTCATAAAAACGCACCTTATATCCCTTATTTCAAAATGAAATAAATGAGGGTAAGTGTGTCCTCAGGGGTCACTTATCTGTTATTTGTTTTGAATTAGATTTCCATAAGACAGTAGTCCTTTTATTTCTCTGTGCTTGTTTTTCTTTCTTTGACATCTGTTGAGTCAGCTGCTGAAATGAGCACATGACAGCTGTTGAACTCTGTCAGCTTAATGTTACAGCTAATAAAGGCTGTTTTTTTCCAGCTCCGTGTGATTTTGTTTTTAGGGCCACTGTTTTTCATGTTATGATGTAAGATTTTATATTTAATGTTAATTTTTTTTTTTTAGAAATTTATTCATTTCATTTGTAACCTAAAATAACAAAGAACAAAAAACATGCAATCAAAATAAAATCAAATAAAATGAAAGGCAGCAAAAGAAGAATAAACCTTATAATATTTGCCCCTTTTTTATACCCAAAATATGTTCAAAAGTAAAGTAAATTACAACAAAAATCAAAACAACTGAAAACACACAAACTAAAAACAAATTTAGTGAAAGCCCCCGACATTCTGATAACAATTATCATACCGTTAGAATTATGACACTTTTTTTAAAGATTTGTAACAATGTTTCAATTTGTTGTTGTTGTTATGGTGTTACTTCTTTTTAAGTGGTAAAAGGTTTTGGTGAAAAATCTTAGTTCTAAATGTTTTTTTAACACTGTCGTGTTTTATTTTCCAGTGTTGCCGCCATGCCACCCAGAAGGTCCATCACAAAAAGAAAGCCGGCTGATGTRGCAGAAGATCTTAAAGAATCCAAGAAAGTGAAAGGTAACATTAAGTATTCACATCATACAAAGTGTGTTTGCTGAGCTGAAAAAATGCTAAAAGACAACATTTAAGTACGCATAGCATCCTGTATTGTTTGAATAAATTAGGGTTTTGATCTTATGTTATAACTAGGGATGTAAGAAAATATCGACACACTGAAATATCGCGATATTTCATTTCCCGATACTGTATCGATATTCTAAAGCTCTGTATCGATTTTTTTATTAAGGTTTAAAATGTCAACTTTCCTGCCAGCCATTCATTTTAATGTTGTAGTTCAGCCTCTGACCACTAGTCTGCAGCAGTGAGCCAGCCATTTGGCTCCTCTACCTCTTGAGGTAGAGGCTATTGTTAAGTGTTGGGTGACCATTTTGTAAATTAATATTAAAAACTAAAAGCTGCAAAAAATATATTTTCAAACTATTTTTTGTCAAATTTAGTCTAATAATTGAAAACATGGATGAAATAAGAAATATGAAACAAATAAAATAAAATACATACAAAGCAGAACACAGCTAAATGTATCAAAAGTATGTCTATGTAATATTAGAATTTTCTGAGACAATGAATTTTGGTTTTTAATTTTTTTTCCCCGTAAGAGGTTTTTATTTAATAGAATTTTTGGACAAAAAAATCGCAATATATCGCCTTGCTTATAGTATCGCAATATATCGTATCGTGACCCCTCTGTCATGATATGTATCATATCGCCAAATTCTTTCCAATACACAGCCCTAGTTATAACACAGTTTACTCTGCCTCAAAGCTCATGCATGTTTTGATTTCATATTCAAGTTTTAAAGACTGGTGAAATCTACAGCTTTACTCGAACAGAGTTGGAAATAATAATTGTATCTGTGTTTGTATCAGTTTCACACAAGAGTCACTGCAAGGAGGTGGGCCAAATTCTGGRTTTGGGCCAAGGTGATGTTGGGCAGTTGGGCTTAGGTGAGAGTATCCTCGAGAGGAAGAAGCCAGCTCTTGTGTCCCTATCAGAGAAAATAGTACAAGTGGTAGCAGGAGGCATGCACACAGTGTGTCTCACTGAATCTGGTCAAGTAAGTGAACATTTGTCTTGTTTCTTTATGTGATCGTTGCTTTAAAAGAGAGATCATACATTTCAAACTGGCTTCTGATGTTTTCAGGTCTACACTTTCGGCTGCAACGATGAGGGAGCTCTTGGGCGAGACACGTCAGATGAAGGGTCTGAGATGGTTCCTGGAAAGGTGACTCTGGATGAGAAGGTGGTCCAGGTGTCTGCAGGGGACAGTCACACAGCTGGACTCACAGAGGATGGATCAGTGTTCATCTGGGGCTCCTTCAGGGTTGGTAAACTGCTGCTTTAAATAACATTTTCATACCTTAGAAAAGTATAAACAATTTATTGTAACACTAGTCTTTTTGAGTGGTACGTATAAAATTTGTTTTGTTACAGTGACAGTAACACGTAAGGTTGGGCAAAATCGTATTAACGCCCAGACAGTCTGTAGTGACAACTGCTCAGTTGTGTTTAATAGAAGCAGCTGAAAAACATCACAGTTTATTTTCCTAGAATTAGAAAATAATAGCTTCTTATTTGTCAGGGTGTGTTTTTATTAACTGTAATAATGTTGTTGTTTAACTGTTCAAGAAATCTGTCCCTTGACMTGATTGACTCCATCATTACAGCTTACTGTAATATAAGGCAGTTTTAGCCTCATTATGTTCRGTTTTAACTTGTGCTCCCCAAACTCGTACTATATTGAAAGTTGTGTGTGTATGCTGTCACATCCAACCGATTCCAATTATTTTAAAAAGTAACAGAATAATTAAGGTGCTCTTAAAGACACACTAATTAGCTTGAAAAGCAATACATTTTCTTTTCTGTACAGGAATGTCTGCTTTAAATAATTTTGTATTTTTCCCACTACTAATCTTTTAATTGAGTTTTCCGGCTTGAAATAWAGAAGGTTTCCCAATTTAATCCACCTTATTGCTGTATTTTGTAATAATTTCATGCTTTCTTTAATTTCCTRCAGAGAACTATTCTTAAGCAGTTTGTTTCTTCACTACGTTCTGCTCCAGTTTTTTTAGTGCACTTACCTTCTGTGTGCTGGACTTTCCAGGACAACAATGGTGTTATTGGCCTCRTGGAGCCCATGAAAACATGTCCTGTTCCTGTTAAAATCCCCCTCACAGAGCCTGTTGTGAAAATTGCTTCAGGTATACAGCACTTGTTGGTTTTCTATCAACGTGTTTTAATTATTCACAGTTTTAAAATTACCCTCTGTGTTTTTGTTTAACATACTTGTAGGGAARGATCATATGGTGCTGCTGACGCTGGATGGAAACCTGTACACATCGGGCTGTGCAGAGCAGGGACAACTGGGACGAGTGCCGGAGCAGTTTTCAAACAGAGGGGGCAGGAAAGGTCTGGGTAGGTAACGCGTGACTTTACATATGCCCTTACTTTCTAATGACTGGCAAATCTTATTCATAAAGTGGCTTTTATTTATTTTCTGTTGGGTTTTTGTTGTTGTTTCAGAGCGGCTGCTGGTGCCACAGATGGTAAAACTCAAACGGAAGGTCCACTTTACTGARGTGTTTTGTGGTGCATATTTTACTTTTGCTGTGTCTAAAGAAGGATATGTTTATGGATTTGGCCTCTCAAACTACCACCAGCTGGGTGAGTGTAGTTTAATTTTTAATTACAGTAATTAATAATGACAGACAGTTCTGATAAAATACTTAATTAGTATTTACTCAGAATTAGGGCTGCACGATGTTAGAAAATCTTACGATGATGATATTTGTAAATATTGCGACGACTATACATAAATYTTAGGGGTGCAATGATACAGAAAATTCACCGTTTGGTTCAGTGCTTCAGTCTCATGGTTCGATATATTTTCGATACAAAAAAGAGAAATGTCCATGCCCTTTTTAACCTGTAATTTATTTAAATTAATTATGAACATTTGTTTGACCTCAAAAATAGAGTTTTTAAATTAAATGTTGCTGAAACAGTGAGTTTCTCTGGGGATCTATGCTCGACAATGCTGCCTAGGTGGAGTAGTCGAACACAGATCCACTGATCCGTCAACACAGAGCCTCTTCAGAAGACAAGTTGATAAAATAAATTTTAAAAATCTGTATTATTCCATACTTAGTATTTATTGAACCTAAATCACTGTATTGAACGGTTTTATACGGATACATGTATTGTTGCACCCCTAATAAATAAATAAATAAATAA